TAGCTGCAATGATTAATTTGGGAGGGCTTTTGGGGTGGGTGGGAGGGAGGGAACCGCTCGAGCTGAGCGTCGGGGCCTCTTGGGAGCCGGCGTGAGACGACGGTGACCGTTCTTCCTCCACGCGTCAGCTGGCCCTGGGTTTAGAGCTTGCCTCCAGGTGCAGAAAGGCTCGCTGTGTCCCCAGGCCCAGTCAGCAAAGGGGAACCTCAGTCACGCTCATTTCCCGCTCACCTTCCCGTCCAGCGTGGTCTGTATTTTCTCATCTGATACCTGCTATCTTCCACCTGCTGCTAGAGGTGTTGGGACTACAACTCCCAGAGTCCCAGGCAAACTGGTCGGGAATTCTGAGAGCCGTAATCCTGAGGTTACCTGCAGAGCGCCAGCTGAGTTGGCCCCCGAAGGATGTGTGCCTCGCAGTCCTCCTTCCTCCCGTCTCTCCCTCCTCCAGTGATGTGATCAAAGCTTCTCTCTGGAGTGTAAAGTCACCAGAAACAAACCAGGTTAGAATCAGAGTGGGAAGAGACCTGAGAGGCCATCAAGCCCAACGCCCTGCGCGATGCAGGATTCACTCCACCGTCTCCAGCCTCTGTCTGAAAACCTCCCGTGAAGGGGAAGAGTCGTCTGCCTGTGGTAGCCTGTCCCATTCGTTGACGGCTCTTTCACGCTTTGCTCCTAGAAGTTTCCACCCCTTGGAGAAGGGAGCAGGGTAACAGTACTTGCAGCAGCTGGAAGAGGAGGGCTGGTTCATCCTGGGGCTTTCAAGCACTGCCTTCTCACCCTGTTTTTTGACGCTAAGGGCCATTTTCCTTGGCACCGTTCCCCATAGCCATCCGACCGTTCGACTACACCCACGCACACGTATGCAGGTGATCTACAACAGCAAGAATTCAGGAAATCAAGGCAGTTCCCTTCCATCAAAACCCATTCTCTCTTTCTCTCCCCCAGACGGCACCGTCTCGCTCTGCAACGGCTCCCTCGGTGGCGCTCTGAGAGCCCTCGACAGCTGCAGGTTTAATGGTGCTGAATTCTCCCAGCGAATATTCCAGGCTTCGTCTCTTCCCTCTCCTCTCCCTGGTGAAAGATAGTTGCATTTAAAATAGTCGGGGTTGGGGGATCTAGAAAGACATTCTTCCCTGTTGGTGTAATAAGACCCAGCTGCTGTTGGGCTGACCAGTTCTGCAGGTTTTAACAAATAGTTAAAAGGGGAAAAGCGCTCACAAGGATCAGGGAATGACTCTGGAGGCAGTGTTTCTCAACCTTGGCACCTTTAAGC